TAAAGCATCATATACAGAGAGAATTAGAAATGCACATACCTGAAACTGAAGAAGGAAAAATAGTTACCTCATCTCTTAAGACACTTGGAACCGAGAAGGATTGTGCTGCTGACTAGGAACCGAGTAATCTGAAGAGGCAGCCCAACCTCATTGTCATTCTTGAAACTCGGTTTTTCTTTCAGTTTGAGCATTTTCATTAAATCTTGGCCAAGTCATTTGTGTTTAATTGACTACAAACCCGAGTAATCCAAAGAGATGAGGCAACCTCATCATTTGCATCCTTCAATCTCTTGGCTTTCATTTATCTTGAGTGACTAGGATCTCAAGAAATTCTAGAGGCATTTGTGTTTAACTTAGGTGCACACAAACTTGAGTAATGCAATGAGGTGGGATAGCCTCATTGGTATTCTAGTTTCAGGCACTTTCTTTTTGCTTTACATTTCACTTAGTGACTAGGATCTCAAGCAACACCAGACAAATTAGTGATCCTCATTGCAAGTATCCCATAGGGACAACCTCATTTTCAACCTAGCATTGTGACATCATACGGACGTTTCAGAGAGGTAACTAATATTACCTAAGTTACAAGGCATTTGTTAGAGCTCAGGTGACTAGGAAACCGAGTTAGACAGGGACATTCTCGACTCTACCACAAGACATCTCACTTGTGTTCTGTCATCAAGATATTTTTCAGAGAGGTAATTAAGATTACCTTGTTATGAGGCATTTGTTAAAAGCTCGATTGACTAGGAAAACTGACTTCATTCAGGGACAAGCTCGTTTGTTTTATCTTCAGGGACACTCACGATTCTACTGTGACTAAGAAACCGCAGGACAAGCTCTTTGTTCTACCATCAGGGACAATTCAGAAAGGTAATTAAGATTACCTTGGTTCAAAGCATTGTGATAGTAGAACTGTAGCTCTAAGACTCGGATGCGAGTTAAATAAACAGGCAAGATAGCCTCATCAGTTCTGGCACAAGGGAATGAGGTAATTAATATTACCTCATTGACGAGTCATTTGTTCACAGCTTGGGTGACTAGGAAACCAAGTTACTCAAAGGAGTGGGACATCCTCATTTTCTAGAATTAGGGACGTTTACGCTAGGTAATTAAGATTGCCTTACTTCTGTGACAGAGTCATTTGTGTTAGTTAAAGAGTCGGAACAAGCTCATCTGTGTTCAGCATCAGGGACGTTTCAAGGTAGTTAAGATTACCTTGATTCTAAGACGAAGCATTTGCTTATAGAACCGTGGGACAAGCTCATTTATATTATGGCATAAGGGACACTTCAAAGAGGTAATTAAAATTACCTCCAATATAAGGCATTGGTGACTAGTTAACCATGGGACAAGCTTTGTGCTCTATCTCAGGGACATTACAGAAAGGTACCTTGTCTCAGAGCATTTTGATTATAGCTCTGAGCCTCTGAGACTAATAAACCGTGGGACAATCTCTGTGGTCTATCATTAGGGACATTTCAGAAAGGTAATTAAGATTATCTCGTATCAGATCATTTTGATTATAGCTCTGAAACTAGTAAACCGTGGGACAAGCTCTGTGGTTTATCATCAGGGACATTACAGAAAGGTAATTAAGATTACCTTGTCTCAGAACATTTTGATTATAGCTCTGAGACTAGTAAACCGTGGGACAAGCTCTGCGGTTTATCATTAGGGACATTTCAGAAAGGTAATTAAGACTACCTTGATTCTAAGACGAGGCATTTGTTTATAGAACCGTGGGACAAGCTCATTTACATTATGTCATCAGGGACACTCCAGTACGAGGCATTTGTGACTAGTTAACCACGAGACAAGCTTTGTGCTATATCGTCAGCGACATTACAAAAAGGTAATTAAGATTACCTTGTCTCAGAGCATTTTGGTTATAGCTCTGAGACTAGTAAACCGTGGGACAAGCTCTATGGTCTATCACTAGGGACATTTCAGAAAGGTAAGTAAGATTACCTTGATTCTAAGACGGGGCATTTGTTTATAGAACCGTGAGACAAGCTCATTTACATTATGGCATCAGGGACACTTCAAAGAGGTAATTAAAATTACCTGCAGTACGATGCATTTGTGACTAGTTAACCATGGGACAAGCTTTGTGCTCTATCATCAGGGACATTATAGAAAGGTACCTTGTCTCAGCGCATTTTGATTATAGCTCTCAGACTAGTAAACCGTGCATGGGACAAGCTCTGTGGTCTATAATCAGGGACATTTCAGAAAGATTATTAAGATTACCTCATCTCAGGGCATTTGGATTATAGCTCTGAAACTAGTAAAACATGGGATAAGCTCTGTACGTGGTCTATCATCAGAGAGATTTAAGAAAGGTAATTAAGATTACCTCGTCTCAGAGTATTTTGATTATACCTCTGAGACTATGAAACGAGTTCTATTAACAAGTAGGACAAGTGACAACCTCATCTAGTGTTGTGGCATCAGGACACTTTAGAGACGTAATTAAGATTACCTCATTACGAGGCATTTGTTTAGAGCTCGAGAAACTAGGAAACCATGGGACAAACTCATTCACATTATGGCAACAAGGGACACTTTAGAGTGGTAATTTAGATTACCTCATTTATAGTATAGATAAAATAAAAGAAAACTCCACGCTAAAGACAAAGAAAACAAACAAATATGAGTTACTATAAATATAATGAAACATACAAAGAAACATGAAACGAGTAAAGACAACGTTAAAAAGATAAAGGAAAGATGTTTAAGTTTATAATGACGAAAACTGCTAAGACAAAAGCTATAAAATGTACTACTAGTTTTCAAGCATTATAGTGCTTATAATAAACCAATTTTTTTTTAAAGTTAAAGAAAGAGGAAGTACCTGGGAATAAGATGTCTTCAATGAATGATTTGATAGAATAGAGACAGATATAGCAGAGCCCTGTAACGATCACCAATCAACCTCACATAGGCGATATAAAAGCCTTACATGGAGAAATCAGAAACATATATTAGAGGATCGCGATGAGAAGAATAAAACAACAGTATATCCTCAACTAGTAACCAAACAAACCTATTCAAACAAAGGGATAAAGATTAAAGGTGATAAGATCACTGGAACGAAGGATTCAAGATTTTACGACCATACAAGCTTACAATGAAAATATGTACACATGCCCATGAAACCTTAGAATAAATCAAAGCAATAAAAGATAAATTCAAAAATTCAAGAATCAACCTTGAAGAAGGTCCGTCAGATAGGATATGCAGATTTCTCGCTTCTCCTGCGATGGCTCTTGAAGAAGACGAAACCAGAAAAAAACCCCTAATAAGAAACTTCAAATTAATTAAGAATCACGATTTTATGCGTATCAACAAACCCTAAATAAACAACAAAAATTGAAATCAAAAACCCTAACTAAGCACTGAAAATTGAGACTAGAAACCCTATACATCAAAAATGCGAAGGAAATCATACGAAAAGGCATAAGTAAAGCGAACAGAGTAAAGCTACAGACGAAAGGTTTCGTGATCACCTCTGGAGAAGAAAAGAGAGAGATAGTCGAGAGAGAATACTATTTTGACAAAGATCCCTTTTCAAATAAATTATTTGGTTAGGCAGCATTAAAACGACGTGGTTTAACTTTACTCTAACGGTCATTACTTTAGACCAATAGACAAATAACTTCACAAAATATATTTTTGGGCAATTCTCTCGAATAACCATTTTTAAAGTTTTTATCACATTGATTTATTATACATAATATGTGCATTTATATATAAACAAATAGTACTAAATGAAGTCTTAACTATAACAAAAAACATTTCTAGTTTGAACATGTGTTTCAAAAAAAAAAGTGTTTCAAAAAAAGGTTTTCAGAAAACCTAAAATTAATCTATGATTCAAATATAATTTAATTTTTATTAAAATACTCTATAAATCTAGATGGCTTAGCTCTTAACTATCAGAGCATTACCATAAACATCATGTTCATTATTTTCCAATTAATATTTATTTGAAAACATGTAGAAAATTATTTACCAAATGTTAATGTCTTCAAAATGTTATTTTCTCAATATTCTTTTTTTTTTGTCATCCATTACTCTCATATAGAGTTTTTAGTAGAACATATGCATTCATAATTTATAAATTAAAAAACTATAGAATTAACTACTTTTATTTAATATTATCATAAATTTATGTTTAAATCCAAAAATAAAATTATATTTTAAAAAAAATCTTACAATTAAAATATTCTTTCACATTAAATATAAATTTTAAAATTATATAAACTACATTATATTTTAAATGTAAAAAAATTATTTAAAACTAAAAATGTTTAAATTGTAAAATTTCTTCTTAAAATATAAATTTTATTTTGGATATAAACATATTTTTGATATTACTAAATAAAATAAATAAAATATCTATTTTTACTTTTATATATTAATATACATACATATTAGAATTATATTCAATGAAAACAAATACATATATACAAATAATTTGAACATAAATATATTATATATTAAAGAGATATAAGAAGAGAAAATAGGATAGAGGCTGGGGTTTTGTTAGTTATTGAATTGTATTTTTTTGGTCACTTAGCCTAATTTCCTATTAACAAATAATAGTATAACTTCTTTAAATTAATATTCTATAAATTAATATATTCTAAAATTCTCTATAAAATAATATATTTTATAGTCTCAAATTGAGTTCTTGATTCAGTTAATATATCGATAAACTAATAATTCCTATAAATTAATAAAAATTATAATTTTGGTGTAGTCCCAACATTATTTCAATTTAACGTGTATATATATTTATAATGAAATTAATTTATTCTTGTGAGACTCGAGGGAGTATTCAGTCATGCTCTTACACATGTTCTAAATCCAAATAATATGGTCCAAGTTATATGTAGATTGAACTAGGTCTTCTTATATTTCTTAATCTAAATAAACAAAACTGACAAACCAAACTGAAGTACTGGATATGACCAAAGGGAGAGATTTTATGCAAGATAATGCACATATTTGGTGATATTTCACTAGCAACAAGAGAAGAATAAATTATGTTTCTGAATTTTAGTAGCGATCAACAAACAAACAAAAACTTATACAAAACATTTATTGGGACAAGAGTATAAAGAATTAATGTATCGATCTGACCCTCTGACCAAACTAAAGTATTTTATGCAAAATGTCTTTTTAAATCTTGGCGGTTCATAGACTCGTCTTCGGTTTGGCTTTGTAGGCAATGCGTCTGGTCACAGTGCGCATTGTCACGAATTCCTCTGCAGAAGATGGATGTATCCCAACCTGTGTTTTGTTGACAAGGTCAAAAAATTTACTTCTTATTTAAACTTCAAAGTATTGAAAGTGAAAACGGAAGTGTTCTGATTCATTTCACAAACCGTGCTGTCAAACTGTGCTTTGGTTGCTCCACACTTGAGCGCAATTGCTATTCCCTGCATTTAGCAATAAAAACAAGATTGGGTTCTGATTGGTAAACCAAGGTTCAACACTTATCAAAGTCAAATCAGGTCCATTGCTTTCAAAAGCATAGACATGCTGTCGTCTCATTAGTCCAAATCATTCAAATATATCCCATAAATGATTTCTCTTCTTTACGTTAGTACGTGGCACTACACACATGCACTACTCACTTAACTAGCTGATGAGTAAATAAATAGTAGAGGCTACTATTAATTAGGAAAACTTGCCTGCATGATCTCAGCTGCATCTGGACCGCACATGGATGCTCCAATAACCTTATCAGTCGTCTCATCAACTATAAGCTTCATTAATGATTTTTCCTGCCGTCTATCACCACAATAAAGATGTGATTAGACCAAAGAGTTCTGTTACATTCCTCAAACAGTAATCAGGTGCAAAAGGCATGTTGAATAACCAAGACGTTTCATATAAGACAACATCAAGAACTGTGTGTCATTATAAAGATTTTGCAGAAATTAGAATACTAGCATACCCAGAAATGGTGTTCTTCATAGGGTTAAAGCCTGAGGTGAAAACCAAAATATCCCCTGTTGCTTTTTCCACTGCCTCTTCTTCGCTGAGACCCACCACAGCTAGTGGTGGTATGCTGCCCAACAAGACGACGTAACCTCTTAGAAAACTTCAAACTGATTAGGTATATTCTGTAAGAAAGAAGGCTTACCAAAATACGGCACAAGCTACATTGGTGTAGTCTGCTTTAGTAGGCTTTCCACCAAAGACAGTGTTCTGCAAACATCAAAACAAATGTGTTACATAACTGGACATTCACAAACACAAAAATTGAAAGATTTATAAGTGCAAGAACGGAGGCACAAACGGCAAAGCAGGTGGCCTCCATTAACGCAACAGGTGTAAGGTTAATTCGGTTAGTAGCATCTCCCACAGCCCATATGCTAGGTATATTAGTGCGTGAGTACTCATCAACCTGCGGATAATGTACTGAATTAGCAGCTGCAAGGGTAGAAGTTTCCCCCCGTGAATAAAAAAAATATGCAATAACAGGAAAGTTGTACGACCTTTACAGCTCCAGCCTGATCAAGTTCAACACCAACAGCTTCTAAATTCAATCTCTTGGTATTAGGAGCTCTTCCTGTAGCAGATATATGCAAAAGATCCTCAGAAAGCTCCATGAAATATATGATTAAAAAGTATATGCCTTGTAAATAAAATTCAAGAGACGAACTAAAAACGCACAAGTAGAATACTGTTTTATAAACAATAAAGCCACACACCGATGTACATGTATTAAAGTAGAACGGGTTAGAAAAGTTACCGGTAGCAAATAGTACAACATCTGCCACGAATTCTTCCCCATGAGAGGATATCACTTTTATCCCATCGTCTGTTTTTATCAACTAAATCGAAAAGATGCCATATGTTCAGTGAAAGATGAACTGATGAAACGAGTGACAAGAAATGTAAACAGTAATGAGACATAGAAATGAACAATCATACTCAGATACCTCAGCCAAACTTGTTTGCGGATGCAGATTGATACCCCTTCCTTCAAGATTTCTAGCCACAAGTGCCCTCATTTCGTCATCAAAGCCCCTGAAAAGGTAATTTTAGAAATAATTAAGAAAGTTGGCTGCATTAGACCCCTAAAGAAAAAAGAGAACAAAAGCTTGTGGCACACCTTAGTGGAAGTTCCTTCCTGAAGAATAAATCTACTGTCGCGCCCATTCCACGCCAGATTGATGCAAACTCCACAGCAATGTACCTGATTAGAATGTAAATACAAACCATGGATACGACTGACATACTAGGAAAACATTGAGGAAGACATTACCCTCCTCCAAGTACTATAGCACGCTTAGGAAACTCTTCCAAACTTAAAGCTTCGTCAGATGTAATAGCCAGCTCCTGTTAAAGACATTTTTATGCACAAAAACTCAGTGGACTGTCCATAATATAAAGTGTATTTCACAACTCGTTGGTATTGTAGATAAGTAAAGATGAAGACAGACACTTACATGTCCAGGGATGTTGGGCTTTTGTGCCCGACTGCCAGTAGCAATCAAAATGTGCTTGGCGGTGTAACTTATTTTGGTGCCATCGATTTGTCTCACCTCCACTTCGTTGGGACCAACTATTCTTCCTTCACCTTCATACAACTTGACAGCAGCATTCGCCAACAATCGCTTGTAAATGTTGTTCAGTCTTAATATCTCATCAGTCTGCACAGAGGAAAAATTAAACACGGCGAATACTGCTTTTAACACCAAACCAACCAAAACGTTAAAACCCTGAAAGTCACTAGACTCAAGTGTTTAAAGCAAAGCAGTGTACAATATTTTACACTCAAGAAAAAAGACAAAATACATAAGGCGAAAGACATACCTTCTTTTGAAGAAGCTTCTTCCAATTGAAGTCGACATTCCCATTGATTTCCCACCCATAGTTTCTAGCATCCTGCAAGAAGATAACCCCATAACACTTAGTTGACATGCCTAAGCATTTAGTGCCAACCAACCAATATGTAGCCTAAAACAGCAATAAGATTGTGCACATAATGTTTTGGGCAAAAAAATGTGTCGCTGATAACGAAACGAAAGGCATTCAAATGATGGATAGAAGTGTAAAAAAGATGGATATTTTAACCCACCTCAAGTTCACCACCATAAGTAGCACCATAGACGAGAATCTTTTTGGGAACACAACCACGAATAACACACCTGAAAGCCCCAACCAAAGGGGAAACAAAGATATATTTTATAATAAAAAGATACAAAAGATGTCATCTTAATGAAACTATTAACAAGGAAGGAAAGCATATTGGGATATACAGTAGTAGAGAACTTACGTGCCACCAACACCTCCAATCTCCTCGGAACTAATAGGGTGAAAGGGAAGCTCGCAAATACCAACCTATATAACATTCCATTTAGAACAACACCGTATGGAGACACATAAGAATGTAATCAGCAGAATGTTCCTGTAAATGTTACCTTGGCACCATTATTAGCAGAGAACCTAGCCGCACGAACACCGCCGCTTCCGGCACCGATTACAAACAAATCAAAATCATAGTGAGTCTCGGTGGCTTCCTCCGCCGCGGCGTTGTTAAGCTCTCCATCAGCAAGCATCTTCCTCGCCATGTTTATTGTGCAGAATAATCAAATATCCAAACTTTAAAAAGAAATAAAAGCAAAACCCACCAATCAGAACTCACGGAAAATGGAAATCAAACCAATAAAAAACAGCATGATCGAAAGAGGGTGATGAGATCTTCTCGATGAGTCGGAAACGAAATCAGACAAAGGAGTAGGAGAGACCGTACCTGTCGAGAAGAGGGTGTTTGTAATAAGAACACTACTTAAGATCCAGACACCAAGGAAGGATTGCGGTGCAAATAAAACTAATGATTGTGTGTGTATGAAATCGAATCTCTCAAGGTTTTGATGATCGCGAACGAAATCTTATATTTGTTTTAATTTTTTTTCTTTGGCTAAGACTACTACCTTCTCATGACTGTGTACTTAATATCAGGAATATAAATGATTATTTTTAATGTATATATACCAACTTATTGGTTAACTCTAAAACATATGCTAATTGATGAAAACCTACCAACGAAAGACGTGAGAATTTTCAAAACTCATGGTCTACATTGAACGCCATAAAGCGTAGGGGTGTTGTTGTTAGGTTTCTTTGGCCTGGCTATTCTTCAAGCCAAGCGTAAGGCACATAAATATTTGCTTTATGCCACATAATATAATTGCAATTAGGAGGCCATTTTGTAAAATGTTAATTTGGTTTAATACTCAAACAAATATTTTTTTTTTTGAAAATCGGATCGAATCCCAACTCGGTGTATTTACTGGTTAACTGGTTAAACCGGTTCCACTGATTGACTGTTAGACCGATTTAATCGGTCGAACCAAATTTTCTATTATTAAAAATTAAATATATATAATCATATATTTACATCATATAGACTTAAAAATAATTTTAATATATTTGCATTTCTTTTTATTAACTATAAAATAAATAATAAACATAAATCTAACTATATTTACGCACTAAACAAGTGAATACTATATAAACTGAAACTGATAAAAAACAAATTATTAATTGTTCAAATTACTGTATTTATTTATTTTTACAACTTAAGTTTAAGATTTTATGAATATGCCAATATAAAAATAATATATGAAAGTCAAAAATATATTTGGATACATTCTTTATAAAAAATAGAATTAAATAAAAAATTATCTAAACAGTAATAGTCAAACATTAAAAATGAAATATTAAATTTTAATAAAAATTGAAAATAAATTAATAATATTTTAATTTTAGAACCGGGGTTTAAGGTTGATCGGGATCACCGGTATTACCACGTTTTTTTTGCCAATTTTACCGAATTTTCTCAAATCTGAGTTTGAAGCCGAATCAGACTCGATTTAACCAGCCAGTCCACTCCGGTTTTCCCTGAAGTGTGACCTTTTAATTACGGTTTGAACCTTTCTATAGTAGATTTTTTACTTTTTTTTATCTGGAAAAAATGTTAAACAAATCCTCAGCTTTTTCATGTGGACCATTATAATCCCCAAGTTTCAGAAAGGTCTGAGAAACCATACACTTTTCTTTGACTTAAAAGAAAACGACTAACTTTTCCTTGACTGGATTAAATTAGACCAGACGTTAATTAGACTAACGGAACATGTTAACCCTGTTAATTTGCGCAGTTAGCCAATACGACGACGTTTTATCTTAAACTCATTAATAAGATCTGAAACCCTAATATCAATCCCCCCCCCCAAATCGATTTGGGGATTCTCTTGACACACCAACCCTAAAAATCGCGATTTACAACCCAAAATCCTCCAGTCCCACACAATTGACTTCCCTTAGAATGAAGATGAGTTCGGATTCGACAGCTGAGAATTCAACCGTGAACACATACGGTATTCACGAATTTCCGGTGAGATGTGTTTGTGGGACTGAGACAACAACCTACACGTCGGAGACTAGCAAGAATCCGGGGAGACCTTTCTTCAGATGTCTTACGTTCAAAAAGGTAGCTTCTTATCTTCTTGATTATATTTTTGTCGTTTATTCAAATTGAACATAAAACAATTTGCCTAAAGTTTTATGGTTTTTGCATAGAACCATTTGTTTAAATGGGTTGAGGATGCTGTTTATAAAAAGGTTCAAGATGCCTTACCAAAGATTGAATGGCTTGAAGCTGAGCTTAACAAAGAAAAAACTGATATTGAGGATGTGAAAGGCGTGATCACTGAGTTGATGGAAGAGATTGTAAGAACCAAAACAGAGGTAAACAGGTGTAAGGTGATGATGACGATCTTGTTTGTGGTCATGTGCGTGATCATCATTGTCCTAGTAGTTAGTTTGATGTAGAATTAAGTTAGTTTTTTGCTTGAGGTGAAGAACTAAATTGTTGGTGTTTGTTCTTGTTGTATTTGCTTAATTCAGTGACCATTTTAATGTTTTGTCTTGATTATGTTTGTGGCTTAATTCAGTGACTATTATGTTGGTGTTAGTGACTATGTTGTTGTTTGAAGTAAAGAACCAAGATGTTGTTGTTTGAGACACAAACCAATCCTAATTAAAGCTTGAAACATAACATAAGTTAAGTGCCAAAGCACTACAAAATAGATCCGAAAATACTGATACAAAAGACATAAACCTTGAAACATAACATAAGTGTCAAAGCACTAAAACTGAAACATAAGTGTCAAAGCACTAAAACTTCAAAATAGAAGAACATACACAAATCAATCCGAAAATACCATCTTCTGACCCTTGTCCCTTCTACCTTTGAAATCACGAAAACCATCGTGGCTATGTTGATTCTTGTGGTTGTGTTGACACTTGTGACTGGGTTGGTTGTGAGGATGAAGCATGAGATTGTCTCTGGCTTGGTTGTGACGATGATGCATTAGACTGAAAATGAAAAAAAATTCAAGTGAGCATAAAAATTCAAGCAAGCAGGAATTCCAGTCATTTGCCACTGGATACACCCACAACTTAGCTCATCTATATCTACAGCATAAGCTACACCACCATAATCAACCTCTGTGACTGGACCAACTGCTGGAAAGCTCATACAATCCTTAAACTTCGACTCCACTTTAGCTATCTGAAGATGTGTCCTTTTTGTGAACTTTGTCTTCGCATTTTTAGCTATTAAAGCCTTTCTCGCATTTCGAACCATACACTGTCTCCTTATATCCTATAGCATCTCCATTAGTGATTTTTTTCTTGCTTCACAGATGGTTCTGTTGAAGGACTCACTTAGGTTATCAGATTATCGTTGCACAAGGTCCCTAATTTAAAATATGCTATGGACCAAGTTTCTGGTTTGGTGACTTGAAGAGTAACATAGGCGCCTGGATTGTACTCTTTCAGTCTCTCACTCCACATTTTAAAATCTCCAGCTGTATAACTTCTTGCTATTCGCCAGAAGAGTCTTTGTAGCTGCATGTCATGGCTGTTTTTCTTCCAATTATCAAAAATGTGTCTACAACACTGTCTATGCTCAACCTTTGGAAGAATGGTGTGGACTGCTTTCACTAAATACTGCCAATTACAAGTATATGACAATTAAAAATACTGAGATAAAGTAATGCTTTAAGCACTAAAAGCTTTAAAAAATCAAGATCAGACGCTTACCTTTTGTTGGTCAAATAATAGGTGACCATCTTTTAAGCCCAAGTCATATGTGAGGTGTCTGACAAAACAGTCCCAATTCGTGTCATTCTCCACTTCTACTACTGCCTATGCAATAGGAACAATCTGATTGCCTCCATCACGCCCTACAGCAGCCAAGAGATGACCATTTATGTCCCACTTTAGAAATGCTCCATCTAAACATATTATTGGTCTACAAGTAGTCTTCCAAGTCTCCTTCTGCGCATGAAAGCAAACATATAGCCGGAAAAAAATCTATGTTTACTTCCTATTTTCGGCCCAGGGATGGTTTCGATATCCATTGTAGTGCCAGGGTTGGTTCAAAAAATCTCAGCTTGATAATCCCATATCTTGTTGAAATGTTCTTCGTGGCTTGCTTTCCTTTCTTTCATAACCTTTGTCTTCGCATTCCCACAAGCTTCCACACTCATAAACATCCTATACTCTCTCTGGATCTCAGTAGCAATTTCATGCTTGGTGATTTTCGGATTCAATCTCAGCCTCTCAGAAAACAACATTGCTATAGTAGAACACTTCAAAAACTTTGTGAGTCCTGTTATCTCACACTTGTGCTCATTCACATAACATTTGATCATCAGCTTCTGTTTGCTCTTCTCATACGAACAATAAACCCTCCAGGGACACGAGCTATCTTGACACATCGCACCTAACTTCAAAGAAGTGGACCGATAAAGCTTGATGTTACGCCGGGTTTTTAATGTATACCTGAGAAGGGTATGTTTGAATTCTTCAGCAGTGGAGAAAGTGTTTCCAGTCCAAGCATTGCCTCTGGATCCACATCTTCTCTGTAGGCTAAACTATGAATTGATTGTTCTTCATTTTCATCATCTGATGATAGAGAATCCGAAACTTCTTTTTCATGCTCTCAATACCATTTGTCCCCACTATCTTCAGCATTCTGACAATTATCATTCCGAGCTACTTCTCCGAAGAAAGTCAAATCGCGACCTCCTACTTCCTCGATACCACCATGACCGTCTGCTTCATTATCAGGGACGTCTTCGTTGTCTGGGACTTTGTTGTCTAGGGCTTCGTTGTCTGAGGCTTCATCAGCTTCGTCGTCACCGACAATACCACAGTCATCCTTGCTGATCTCCCCTTCTTCTTCCATGTCGTATGTTTTGCTCTTTTTCTTCTTACATACATTAGCTTTGTCGTTGATGACTCCACCTTTTCTTTTCGCTACAGAACTGGCACCACTGAGGTTCCCGTGCCGAGACTTCTTCTTTTTTCTTTTCATTACTCATCTCTTCTATCTTGTTCGTGTTTGCTTCGAGATTTTTGGTGGTGGTTTCGTGAATTAGGGTTCTTAACTGAGAAAACCCCCCAAATCTATTTTGGGAGATAATGAGAAGATGTATTTTATTTAATTGAGCAGAACACAGCATCGTTTTGACTAACGTCGGGAATTAACTGCGTTTAGATGTTCTGTTTAGGTAATTAACTGCGTTTAGATGTTCTGTTTAGGTAATTAGCGCGGGTTTAAATTGACCCGTTCGACAAAAAGTTAGAAGTTTTTATGGTTAGTTCGGAACCTGGGGATTATAATGGTCCAGTCCAATTCACAAAGCTGAGGATTTGTTTAACATTTTTTGCGTTTTTATTTATAATTAAATTTTTACCACATTTATTTTTGAGACTTTAAGCTTTTTAAAAGTTTGGGACGGCGCTATGAAAAACTAATAGTATAAACAAAAGAAAAACAAACACAATTTGTTTTTTTAGCCTTTTTATTAGAGTGCCAAGTCACCAAAATATATTTGATTTCAAATCCGTGAATCTCTG